GTTACATCTTCAGCTGCATCCAATGAGAAGGAGCTTTGCACCTACACATCGTGTGAGCCAGAGAGACTTCCTCCTAATGAAAACCATAAAGTTGAAACTGTAATGGAAGACCTAGTTTCCTGCTCTCTTCATACCAAGGTCAGTGTTTTACAGCAGCCTGTCCTCGCCCTCCATTCAAACTCATATTGAAGACGTTTATGGCCTCTGGCTAACCTACGTGTTAAATATCACAGAGGTCTGATAAATGCCAGTGTCACTGTACCAACTGTCCCCCAGACCTCGTGTAATGTATTCAAAATGTACTTTATGGCCGCCTCCCGCCCCCACGGCTCATTAGCAGCTGTTAGATGCTGCGGCTGAGCCAGGGCCCGGCTGGCAGCTCGGCCTGTAGCTCATGGATCAAGTGGAGGCTGTAAATACTTTGCTGGGTTACGTGGAGGTCAGCAGAGAGCGGGCCGTTAATGCTTCAAGAGCAACATCCCGGTGACCCTGGTCACCGCTCCCATAGCGCTCGCTGCCACCTCCCCCACGTGACCGCCACAGTCGTACAACATACAACAACCCACTGAGAGGACGGACCTGTGCTTTAAGGGTATTCTTCGTCAACAGTGATAAACACTGAGGGGATTAACACGGACCCTGGCCGTGTCCAAACCCACCCCCCTACACACAGGGAGAAGGCATGTTTTGTAGTGTGCAAACATATGGGGGAAGTGTAGTGGATTCAAGGCATCACCCATTGTGGGAAGTAGCGTACAAGCCAAGCTCACTACTTGGCCCTATCGAGCCTTTCACAGGCCGTTTAGCACCAAGTGTAGCAGGATTAACCACCGAAGATGATAAATGCAACCTAAACAAAACGCCGCACTTCACTGAGTGGATAGAACAGATTAGCAAGTGGCCCAGTGTCAGACAACGTCACGCCAGCATAAAAACAAGGTAACCAGGTGATCCCTCTCTGTGAGAAACAGCATGGCTTAGATGCAGGAGAACGTTGGATCAGTCCAGCGCGGACAACACTAGTAAGAGCTCACCCCGGTGTATCAAGTGACGCAAATACAAAAAACTCTGCCTATTTTAATATACTAATAATACTATTTTTTCAACAGTTAACATCATTGTGTGTTTTTTTTCACATAATTAAACAAATTCTCAAAGTGCCCCAACTGTTGTGTGACGGGCCTGTTTGAATGTCTCCCGATAAAGAACAGGGAAGGATCTGAAACGGATCTGAACCAGTTCGCGGTTGCTGATCAGCTGACCCTCTTCATTAAGACCACACACGCGTGTTGCCTGGAAACCGCAGCATCGGGGTGAAGGACATTAACCCTCTAGTCCTCTCAGAGGAGGAACCGTGCGAGTAAATGACCAGCGGGAACAGAATGAATGATGTGTGGAAGCGCATCACTATTGTAAATGGCCATAATTAGCAGCCCAATGATGCCATGTATGGTTCAGCCCCACACACGTCTGCAGAGATCCGTTTGAGAGGCATCAGCAGCAGAATTAAGAAGCCTGGTGCAGACGACGAATGCTGCAAATAACATTCAGCTGTAATAAAAGAATTAATGGTTCCATATGAAAAGGTGACTAACGGGAAGGAAGTCAAGACACTGAAGAAGTTCATGTTGATACTGTAGCAAATAGCATCAATAGCCGATTTCAATCAGTTGCAGGATTCTCAATTTTTTTTTTTCCCCTCACAGTAAAATCAAACTTCATTCTTTTCAAAATGGCCATGATTACATTGCCTGAACAAAATCTCCAATTTCAACAACAGATAAGAAAAGGTTTAATGTGACAAAGGTTTCATTCCTGTGTGTATTTTCTCATCTGTTAATAAAAAGGGAAAGGAGGAAAGGAAACATGACAAACCAACTAGTTATGTTCAAATGGAAAGTCAATATTTTCAAAAACTAGTTGTGATGAGCAAATTATTATTTTACATTTTATGAATTTTAAGCAGCTATTTTAGTTTTTTTTTTTGAATTGTTACATAAAAATAAGTTGTAGCCGCAAATCAAATATCTTAAATATCAAAAAATATCAAAGCGCATTGTATGGTTTTTAATTCTGAATGTGTTGAGCAAGCAGCAAGAAAAACAATAGTGTGTCATGTCACCGTTGTTCTTTCTTCATCATTATAATGAAACCTGGATAATCAATACAGACCAAATAAGTATATCCAATCAATACAAGGGCCAAATGATTAGTGTGAAGTTTCTTTTTTCTTCACTGCTCATTGTTCCAGCACAAACAGGATCACACACACACACACACACACACACACACACACACATTCAGATCCTCTCATTCATCAAAACGCAGCCTTTAAATGGTGAAACCATCTGCTGTGGCGCGTGCTGGGAGATAAATCACTTGGTTTGAAATGCTAATGGCCGGGGTGAGGAATCTTCAATCTGGGGAAATGATCTTGGAATTAGGTGGAGGAGGAACATTTACAGCCCCGTTCCAGTCAGAAAGGAAATGATGAGGCTTTTCTCTGTCTAATTGATTTTACTGAGGAACAACGCTGTCTCATCGCTGATTCTCCCCGTTCAAAGATCACTGGATCCAAGAGAGATCGGGGAAATAGATCTAGTAAGAGTTACCAAATGGAGCATTGGCTGTGTGCTCGGGGGAGGACGGGGGAGGGCGGGGGAGGGGCCGTTGTCACTGTGCTGGTGTTGACACAGATCCAGTGATAGTGGAGGGAGTCAAGTTAAGAAGAAAACATGATGGATCACATCTGCTTGCATGGCCCCCATCCTCCCACCCACCAACAGCCCCTCCTCCTCCTCTACTGTACTCCTCCAGGCTCGTCATTCAAGCGTCACGGCGGGGGGCGCTTCGCATCCTGTCCCCTGCCCCACCCACTGCCAGCCGTCCCTTCGCCCTGTCCCGAGGGAGAGGACAGACCCCCGGCCGGGGCAGGGGCTGACAAAGCACTTTCTTTCAGCCTGCCGGCCCCGACGTGCCAGCCTGCAAACCCCCGAGGCCCCAACAGGGATCCAACTGCTCTGCCTGGCTCTTCCTGCTCCTTCCTCAGAGTTCAATTACCCTAAAAGAAGCACGCTTCACTGAGCACAGAGTGGCACGTGTGTGTGTGGGGGGGTCTATTCATCGATCAATCAGAATTGAGTTCTTCCAATGTGGTTATGTGGAGAGCCAGTTTTCACGCAACAATGTGAGGCGACGCTTCTGCCTGGTCTGTGATGGCTGAACCAGCTGGATGGAACATCTGTAGTTCCGATGGATTCGATCCTTTACCACACAATCGGAAGACTATCTCGCATGTGAATGTGCTTTTCTTTGTCCATATAAAGAACTTGAATTGTCCCGTTGTTTAAAATGATTTGTTCAATCAAACAACAGGACAATAGAGAGAAATGCCCATAAAAGGGCCTGAGATTAATAAATTGTTATTTATTATTTCGACAATTGATCAGCTTGATTACTTTTAAAGAGAAAAATCGAAATGATATTGCAGCTTCTTAAATGGGAACATTGGCAAGTTGCTTTACTGAGCCAAGGATCTTGGAGATGTCCATTTGTTTTTACCAGACAACTGATTAATTATTTGAGAAAATAATTAATGGATATTAAACAACAATTAAAATAAATTGTTAGCGGCATTTTTCTTCCATTACTTCCATAGTGAATTGATTATTTTCACACAGAAATCAAATATATAAAAGGCCTTTCTTGTGTGGATTCATCTTACTGTTTATTATTAAAATATTTTTTTTATTTTATTATAAGAATTGTCCTATGACAATGTTCGAAATAAAAGCTTTAGACAAAAGAAATGTTGAGTTTGCAAATTACTCGAACGGACTATAAAAAGAAACATTAAGCTTTTTTATATTCGTTGCATTAGGTTATTTATTGTTTTGTACATTCTGCATTTACAGAGAATAAACTAATTACTTCTTTAAAAATGTATATTTAAGGTTAGAAAGGCTCCAACGGTTATCTTAAATCAGTTGATTGGTTAATATACAACTTAATACACATTTAAATATTGAAAATTATTTTTACAATCTTCTGTAGCCCCCCATAAAATTAATACACCAATAAAAAAGGGACACGTCAGAATTTCCGAACATGGACTAATCGTTTACGTAATTAATGATACAAAACAAGACAAACTTACTGCCGTTTTCGCTCTTTTTAGTATTTGTAGGCCAGAGGACACCGTCCCATTCTCTTATTAACAATTAGGCGTGTGACGTCACCGCTGAAACGCGACGGTTAAAGGGAATTTAAATCTTAGAAAGGTCAATAAATCTTCAGCCCCCTGCATGGGGGGGGCAGTGGCGATAAGGGACTGGCGCCTGGTGACCGACACTGCTGCAAGGCATTGTGGGGCTTAGTGGGGGCCTGGAACTGGGGAATATGTAGAACATGTTAAGATATCACTGGAAGCGAAGGGGGGAAACGGAAGACTCCGGAGCCTCGTAGCGCACCGCCGGAGCCACGCCGCCTCGCCACCCCCCCACAAACACACACACGCCCGGCTTTTGGAGACTAAAGCGCTGGTGCCTCCGGCCGTTCACCAAGTTCAAAAGTTCACCTTTAACGATCTCCCCGAGCCTGCCCGGCCACCTCCAAATAAAAACATTCCGACCTCTGTTCCCAGAGAGCCGCGTCTCTTCCACCGAACTCACGCGCACATCTCTCGCAGGCGCACCTGGCCGCGGGCCGCGCGCCCGGCACTTGTGGAGACGCACGCAGCGTCCCGGGCGCTAAACTTCGTTAACTGCAGAACGGTGCACGAGCAGAGCCCCGAGCCCCCGCCCCGACCCGGCGCGGTGGCGCCCGGTGCGGCTGTGGCCGGGCCACGCAGCGCTGATGGGGGGGGGGGGAACCAACGTTAGTCCGACCCGCCACGGCCGTGGCGCTCTGCGTGGAGGTGCGCTCCCGTCACGCCGGCCGCGCGTCACACGGGCATGCGCTCGTGGACGTGCACGTTCACGGTCAGCGCTGCGCTCGCCTACCGTTAACGGACTTGTCGTTGTTTCTCTCCGGGAAGTCAAAGCCATTCGTCCGCTTCTCGATCTCCATCCTCCCGCATGGGCTGATCCCGAGTCCGCCCGACGTCGCCGCTCCGCTCCGCGCCACGAAAAGCCGCGCGCGCTGCTGCTGGCGGGGCGCTGACAGCTGCGGTGATGGAGTCTTGAGGTGAATCACGCCGTCTGCTCCGTCCGGTCTGTCCGCAGCCCGCTTTGCTCACTGCTCGGACCGCCGTCCCATGATTCAGCCGACTGCCTCCAGTCAGTGGGGAAGAACTGGATCCACACCCCCAGGGGTGGTGCGTTCAGGTGTCGTGAAAAGGGTGGAGGAGAGCTGTTGGTGTAGTAGACGATGACGATGAAGTAGACTCACTAAATGATGATAACAAGCGCATCATCTGGTATGGACAGAAACGATACACTCATTAAAGATACAAACAAAACAAACACATAAAGGACTAGCATCACAGGTAAAACACACATTTGAGTCGTCTTCTAATGTTTAATCAACAAAGAGTATGTAACTTCCGAATGCAGAAGTAACAACCATAGAGGGCACAAACCGTGGCTTCTAAATGGATTCTAAGGTTGTAGACGGGGTCAAACCACGATCGTATCTCCTCCTCCTTTGAACCAGGGGAATAGTGGGACTGGGCCTATTCTTTATTAAAGCAACTATTGTCTGTTCATTAGTCCTGTGGGGTGTTATCAGATACCATTGTAAGAGGCATTGCTCCTACAGGACGTGAAGGCACCACGTCCACAGGCCCTGCTCAGCGCAGACAGCTGGAGTAGATGCACAGGTGTTACTAATCACACCAGTGACGTGACGTGAGCAGCGTGCGCGATACCAGCAACCGGAAATCAGCCAAAGGAACCCAGCCGTCATTAGTCGTGGCATTTACACCTGTGCTTTACCGTGAACACAGTGGTGGAGCTTTTTAAGTGCATAGCAGGTCCCATCGGTTGTTCTATCGGCACTCACCGTTTACATCACCTGGCTATAAGTTAAAAGCCTGGTGGAAAGAAACTCGCATTTAAAACAATGATTTGGGATTGTAGATCAGTCTGAAAGTAAAGTATGCAGAATTCCTTGGCATCTAGTGGTGATGTTGCAGATTGCAATCAACGTTCAAACAACAGTAAGAAAATGTAATTTACTGAGGACGTCTCATAATCCCACGCACATCTGTCAATTCAAGTGTCTTTCACACGCATTCACACACAATTAATCAGGATTATTATTGTTATTATCATTATCATATATTACTTTGTTTGAAACATTTAAAAAGTAGTAGCATCGCTATTGACATCATTGACATTTATTTGGCTAACAAGACTCATGAACATTAGCATTCAAACTGACTACATTTATTCCTTCCAGAGGGAAATGTTGGACATTATCGTCCAGCGTTCTCCTCAAAGCATACTTTGCCCAACTTGGTGAGGATACAGCTCCGGACACATGTACTTTCATCCTCCAGTGGAGATGCGCAATGTGCAAAGTCACCATCAGGCCACCAGAGGAGGCATAGAAAGTTCATGTCTTCCTCTGAGACATGAACCTGGTGACACGTAACTTGGATCTCAGCCATTACTGCAACGGGCTCCTGTCTAAATCGAACGAGGACTCCTATGAGTTTGTTAGTAAGATCGGGGCAATAACTGGCAGTTCAGCGATTGTACCCTTTATACGTTGCTCCACAATCCAAAACAACTCTCAGTTTGCCTTTTCTGGGATGATAGATCCACGATGAGGGATATACCACACCTTTCTGTCCCGTCGTAACATTGGTGACCTTCAAGTTGGTGCGTTGTACGTATGTCCTGGATGTTGCCAAAAAAATGTTAGTACTCGGGCATTTCTGACTTGCTTTTCAATGAGGGCAACATGATCATTAAACAGTGCTCTCCAGCGACTTGTCTCTTGCAATCTTTCCCTTAATTTATAAGGAAGTTTCAAGATGATGCTCCACGTGTTAGATGTTATGTACATTTTTGGCTTTTTGGAATACCTAATCCGAAACCAAGTCTATGGGCTGCCCCCTGGTGTATTGTATAAAAAAGCGTAAACAGTCACTTTAATTAATTGTCTCCTCTGATGAAAGACATGTATTGAAGAGGGTCACTATCAGACACAGGAATATTTATTACAGGAAGGATAGAGCACAGATTTTGCTGGGCCAGCAGAGCAGCGATTTCATATTCTCTGCATAACATTTACGATGTCACTGTGACAGCTTTCATTAACACCTTGTATTTAAGGTTGGACTAATGTCTTGTTTGCTGTTTGAATAATATCATGATTGTTGTGTTTTTTCTGAAACATATAATTGCACAATTATTATGAAGAAGTTTATTAATAACATCAGGATAAACTGTAGCTACTCACCCTGACCCCAAGGAATCCAGGAGGGCCAGGCTCGTTGTTTTTACTCATTCAATTGAAAATGTGATGGTAATATTCACTGCTTATGCATTCATATCATTTGACATTGTATGAAAGTTAGGTCTGCCTTGAAAAAACAGACCTTGAAGCCCTTCTTAAAGAGAGAAATCTCATTTATCTGCTAATGTTCAGTTTTGTGGCTAGGTTATATATTGCCTACTCTATTATGTATCCCAGTAAACCTGGACACCTACTGTATATTCCAGCATAGACGAAAAGAGCATTGCACAGCAAATAGGGCCAGGCTCCCCCATTGGAGCCCTTTGCTCACTGTGAAAAGATGTCGTGATTTGCGTCACATTCTGCTTCCGTTAACACACAAGAAACTCTCTTGCTCAAGGTCTTTGGTTGTATGTTGTGCATGTCCCTCCCCTACACCCCGGGACATCACCAAAGAGACCCAATCTGTGCTGTCACACTCTAAAAAATGTCACTGTAAATTAACGGTAACTTACTGGCAGCAAGGACGCCAGGAATTTACCGTTGTTTTACGGTATAATAGCGTAAATGGTGTTTACACTATGTTACCATAACATGGATTACAGTAAATTGGTGTGAACTTTACAGTCAATTAACGGTAAAATACTGGCAGCGTATGCCAGTAATTTACTGTTTTTTATGGTACACTGCCGTAGAATACAATGTTATCGTATATTGGATTACTGTATGTTACCGTAAACTTTTACCAACCAATTTTACTGCGAATTAACTGCAATTTACTGGCAGTCGACGCTAGTAACTTACTGTTTTATTTGCAGTGCCCTACCGTAATATACGGTATGTTGTTGTGTATTGGATTACAGTTTCTTACCATAGGATTACTCTTTTTGTGTTATAAGCAGCAGAGCGGACCCCTCCCCTTAGGGAGGGGGCGCGCCCTCCTCTGCACACACGAGCACGCTTTAGGATGTACTTGAAATAAGTGCGCTGCTTCACCTGAGACTGTCGCGTGGACGCGGACACTCTGTTTTGTTGATGGTTACATTTGTAACCAATAACAAAACATAAAATATGCAGCATGTATACAATAATAAAAAAAATGAATCATAAAATGATGACGTCCTTAATCCAGTGGCTACTGTAAAACAAACCAAAATTAAATATTTAGAAACACTGTCATTGGTAAAATATTAAAATTACAAAGTTGAGGAAGACAACAAGATGTAAGGAAGGAGAATGTTAATTATGCCAGGCAAATAACACTTACCAACTTGGAGAGACGAGGCAATGAGAAACTCCTCCCATGTTGAACTGCACAGGTGTTCTGGATGAACTGAGATTACGCTTCTGACGTCACGTTCAGGAGCAGTCGGTCACGATTAACACTCAAATGACTTTTAGGTAACGAACACTTTGAATAATACAAATATTTATAATCTTTACATTCCGGCCACTGAAACGACAGTGAAGGTGGCGCATGCGATAGGGAGGGTGTGCTGTGCAGCACAAGGTTGGTGGTTTGAATCCTGGCTGCTCCCTGTGCCAAGTTGAAGTGTCCCTGAGCAAGACACCTAACCCCCAATTACTCCACATAAATTATGTCAAACCATGGGCGTTTTGGATAAAAGTGACTGCTACATGTATAGTAATGTCCTGTGAGTCAAAGTCATCATCGTATCTCATGAGACATCTCATTATGATGACTTACAGGACCTGTTTTTCATTGGCTGACATGGGTATTAACCTACAACAGATGTAGATGGATTGTGATTCACTGCACTTGTATGTGTATTTCCACCACTTCGTAAAATATATGTAACATGCAGTTGAATTACGGTAGTCTGCTATTATCGTAAATTGACAGCTTTAACTGTTTTTTCATGAGGGATGGAGATTTAACTGTATGTTACAGTTATTATAACATACTATAAGATACCGTTAGAAATGCACCGTAAATTTACAGCAATTTGTTACAGTGCAGACTTTCAGAACAATAATTGGCCAGCTGATGGCGCCCAAAGGCCTTCAAGCTTCTAATGTGCGCTTTACTTCGATTTTTACTTTTACCTTCAAACACATTGACACGATTAAACATAATTCGAAAATCACATTTCTAACCAAGTTCGTTAAATGACACATATGCATGTGCATTATCATAGCACGATGCTCATACTGTTATTGTTATTATTATGATCATGTGCGCGCAGCAGAGCGGACCCCTCCCCTCGGGGAGGACGCCGAGCTGAAAAGGGAGCGCGGGGCGCGCACTCCTCTGCACACACGGGCACACGCGGTGCTTTAGGATGCACTGGAAATAAGCGCGCTGCTTCACCTGAGACTGTCGCGTGGACGCGGACACTCCGCGGGGAACATGTGGAGATACAGACAGCTGTTCGCCTTCCTGCTGCTTCTGTGCGAGGAGGCGTCTTCCCAGAGCAAGGTAAGACTTCAGGGCTGCGCTTTCTTTGCCTTTTTAGGACTCACCGTTCGCTGTTTGGAGTCTCTGTTGGGGTTCATTGGGGTCTGTCCTTCCACTACTACGCCATTACTGGACCACGGACAAACCTTTCAGGTCTCTGGAGCCGGCGGACGGTTCTGCATATGTGTTTGGAGGCAGTGTAAGCCTCCCAATGAGGGCTTTGTGTGACACGACCCAGTGTGGTTACATGATGATACCTCCAGTGTGTGGGAGAGATGGCACCCAGTGGGGTAACAGTAATAAGTGGCTGCCCTTGTTTATACAGCTGCTGGACTCCAGTAACCCCTCACTGTCCCTGAGCCTAATCCAGCTCCACTCACACACACACACACACACACACACACACACACACACACACAAGCTGCCAGAAGATAACATGCATGGACAGTACATATTATAAGACCAGGGCCTCCGCCGCACATGTATGGCCAAGTATGTGTGTGTGACTAAACAACTGTCTGGATACAATCAGGGAGAACAGGAGAAGTGCTGAGAGGAACAGCTGTATCCATAGTAGTAGTATGGACAGGAACAGCTGTATCCATAGTAGTAGTACAGATAGGATCAGTTATATCCGTAGTCCTACACTGATAAGATCAGTTGTTTCCATAGTAGTAGTGATAGGATCAGTTGTATCCATAGTAGTAGTAGTGATAGGATCAGTTGTATCCGTAGTCCTACACTGATAAGATCAGTTGTTTCCATAGTAGTAGTGATAGGATCAGTTGTATCCATAGTAGTAGTATTTATAGGAACAGCTGTATCCATAGTAGTAGTAATGATAGGAACAGTTGTATTCATAGTAGTAGGAGCAGCAGCAGTACTACCAAATACAACAGTGATAAAAGTGCTACTAGTTGGGACAGTATTGGTAGTCTGGTTGGTTGGAGGCCAACGAAGGATAGCAATCGTTTAGACAACCCTGTTCTTCCAGCTGCGTGGCAGCAGTTTGACTTTGTCCCTCTTGGGCTTCACAAACACAGTTATTCAAAGCAATGATTGAACCGTATTCCAACATCTTTTGGATGAACTGGAACTGCTAGGTACTGCTGACAGCATTCTTGTTGCTTGGTACCGTATGTGTGCTACTCTCAGCAGAGAGTCTTAACCATCGTTTGTCCTGGAGCTGGTGATGGAAGTAGTTAACCAGTGAGCCACCCTGCCTATTTTTCTTCTGTTGAGAGTTGCACATGCTCAGTCCAATCAGGCAGGACCTAAATGGTAAATGGTAAATGGACTGTACTTGTATAGCGCTTTTCTAGTCTTCCGACCACTCAAAGCGCTTTAACACTACATGACATCATTCACCCATTCACACCCATCCATACGCTGATGACAGGAGAACCACACACAGGGACACCTGCCATCAGTAACTACCATTCACACACTGTAGTCGCAGCTACAGGAACAATGTTGGGTTAAGTGTCTTGCCCAAGGACACAACAACATGCGGGTTAGCAGAGCCTGGGATCGAACTGACAACCCTCTGATTGGAGGACGACTGTGCTCCCCACTCACCCACAGTCGCCCACTAGGGAACGCATAGCTAGAGATATGTGTTGTTAATCCTGCGTCGCCTCAATTTCCTGATAAACAAAAGCACAATGTCATTCCTAATCAATTTATAGACTCCCATACTTCAAATACCTGATCCAGTATTTTAAGCTGTACCAGATGTATCTAAAGGTTTTATAGTATATCTATGGATAGTATTTCCTTACAACACCCTTCCCCATCATGCTCCAGCCTTTTGGCCAATGAAGATGTTCAGTCATAATATGTGTCGCCAAAACTGGTGCCACTGACATTAATGTGAGAGAAAGCCCACCAACAAAAGCATCAGGGGGGGGGTTGGAAGCAGTGCGTCCACTTGCTCCGCGTTCTGGTTGTAAACAACCCCGAGGACAATCAGTGCAGGGTCAGCAGGGGAGGAAACAGCAGCAGACAGGGCTCAGTAATTACAGTATTATTACCTGGTAGCTGTGGACGATTGACACTGTACGCAACATTTTGTCAAGCCATGTTATGCCAACATGGCTTCATTTAATTGAGGACGTCTCCTGGGGTTCGACGAAGAGTCGCCATTAGTCTGTGTTCACCGTACGGCTCAGGTGCACAACGCTTTGGTAAAAATTGTCAATACAGATGCTGTATTTCAGGCTGTTCCCCTCAATAGATTGTGGGTGCCTTGTGGATAGGGGGGTGACCTTGATCAACAACTAGTTCAAAGTTCCCCCATTAGATCATTACATTACATTAAATCATTACATTACATGTCGTTTAGCTGAAACTTTTATCCAAAGCGACTTACAGCAAGTGCATTTCAACCATAAGGATACAAACCCAGAAGAACACGTCCGTCTATTAAGCTACAGTATTTACTATTTACACCCACGTACCCTTGATTAAACAATAGCTAGCTATCTTAAACGCTTTCTGCCTAAATGAATCGGTAATAGCAGTAATAGTAAAAGCAGTTACACGGGTTGAACTTAGGAGACTGGGGTTTGATTACATTTAGCACCAGACTTAATCGATATCTTATTCAGGTCCTGGTTGAAGTTCAGGTAGGCAACAGCTACTTGGTTTGGTTGAGGAAAAATATGCATGCGTATTTATAGTACGCTACACACACACATGAGGTACGGAGGTGTTGGTCTGGATACGAAGCGCATCTGCCTTCAATTGCTTGTACTGAAGTATTGTAAAGTAGAGAGACGTGAAACTGTGCCTCTGAAAACAAGACAGGACTCCTGCAAGCTACAGAGTTCCTAGTACCTGTGGTGCTGAATGCTGCTATGCAAACGGGTCAGAGTGGCCTCATAGACTAATTCACGGTTACACTCAACACGTTCTAAATTGGGCACTTGTGCTGTATTCTCTCTCTCTCTCTCTGTGCATATTGCTGAATCCTTGAGAGCAGGAATTGTGATCACAGAGGGTTTTCCAATCGAGTTCATCTCTTATCTACATTGTCTGGTCTTTGTAAGGTTCCTCCAGCCCCCATCTCCCTTGGACCCTGCCCTTTCCACAGCCCTGGACCCTGTGTTCCAATGTAGTCCACCTAGACTATGGATTGATAGACCAATCCCTCAAAACCTCTTTGTGCACATGATCTCTTCACTCTGCGAAAGCCACGAAACTACAGTAAGAGCATCTCGTTTCTGTCGTCGAGGCTGTGAGGCTATTCAAGCATCTGTGTGAGTGCGGGAGGCAGTGTGACCTGCACAAAACAGAGAGGTACGTGGAGGTGTGGTGCATCTTATTTGCACAGTGAGACCGGAGGCAGCTTCAGTATCAGTATCAATGTTCTTTTATATTACAATTGTCTTGAGGAACTTTCTTGTTGGCCTTCTCTCTGTGAGCTGAAGGAGAAGATTAACACCTTTGTCCCCGCCAGCAGCAGGGAAGCACAAACACTGGAAACAGCCAAAAAAATGTGAAAACAATACTTGGTGCTCTTTCTTTGTCGGTTGCCTGACCAAATGACGCTCCTCCATTCAACTTTTTTCACTCTTCAGTGTTGCATAAATAAAACAAATAAGACATGAGGTATTAATCAGTGGGTTTGTTGTTGCTGGGAGGTGGATTTCGTTACCCAGGGTCAGAGCCAGTACTGTTTACCTCTCGACAATGTTGCCAGACGCTGTTTTGTACAAGGACAATATCTAAAACATTGATTCGGGACGTAATCATTGAAATACCAACGCTATTCTTTCGTCACTTTGTTCTTAAACAGCAGCTACCTTACATGTGTTGTATGTATGTGCATGTGCATGTTATGACGAGTCCATTGCTGATAAAGAATTCTGTCTGTCCTATTTGGCAGCGTCAATAGTGAATTAACACAAAAAGATGACTCGAGTATTACCACAAAGTAAAATAATGGCAATAATTATTGAAAACTATGGTAATTAAAATATACACATTGTAGTTTATGTCTTTTAATATTGTATACTGTGGAAATGAAGAATGCAATAAGCAATTGCTACACAAACATGAGCCCTCTCAAGTGTGTTTAGATTCCGTTCTGACATGAGACTGAATTTGCAGAATCTTTGCTGAAATCGGATCAAAGAGGAGACTAGATGGTGAGAAGAGAGGATGAATTTTCTCGGGGGGTGATAGCAGCACTCAGACCACTTTTAGAAAAGTGGCTGACGACCTTTCGTTATGAGCTTAAAGCTGTTTCCCGCAACATGAATCAACAGTTGGCATTCGTTTGTTCAGATGACACCAGGGGCACTTTCTTTGTCCTAATAAATGGAGCATAGTATTTTTCTGGGCATTCATCTTCTCTCTGCCTTGTTAACGCGCTAATGCATCCTCTGTCGAAAACACATTAGCTCCATCTATCGTTGAGGTCACCAGACGCACACTTACAATTAGTGTGTGTTTGTGTCTGTGAAGGTATTCCTACAGAACATGGATTTCATTAGTGTTGGCAGTGTGACTTGTATCTGTTTTCTCACAAGTTTTTCACTCTAAAAGCAGACTGATTCCATTGTTAGGAAATAAAGCAAATGTGGCTCAGCAGGAACCTTCACACAAGTAATCCATTAGCTCATTTAGTATAGCAGGAATTTCATGAAGGTCTTTTTGTCATTTGTGTGTGATGCAGGGCAGAGAACACAGCAAGGCCCATGTGTCGATCGCGTAAACACACTCGGCGGGAATGTAGACGTGTACCCACAAAAGCAGCAAGTGCTCGATGCCCTTTGTGTTTGGCTAATTAACATCCCTGTGCTAATTCCTGTGTTGTTGTTGATGGTCTGAGCCACCGACCTCATGGTTTATCCCCAGACTTAAGGCCTCCATAGAATCCCCCCCCCCCCTCCTTTTGTACCATGTTCAAATGTACAGTGGCACAGTAAGACTGTTTATCATAAGCACGGCTAATTAGATTACCAATCCAGCGGACTCTCTGGACTGGAATGTGGACCCCGGTTTTGGTCCTGAGTACCCTTGACAGGAGACAAAGTGGATTTTAAGATCACCAGCCGCATGGCCAGGACTGATTAGAGCTGCCTTTCTGTGTGTCTGTGGGGAAAAGCAGCACATGACAGCACTTTGTGTTTAAAGGTTCGAAACAGGTGCCTGCAGCTTGTGCTCTTTCACCATACCGTTGTCCCAGTGGTCACCCAGCTGGCTGAGCACCAAATCCTGGTTTTCATCTTCAAGGCTGCAGATGAATGATGATGATGCTGCATACGGACACGGTTACACGTTGTGTGTGAGTGGGTCAGACCCATGGGGAGTTGTGTGCTATCAGTCTGTAGTTATCCACGTTTTTCCTCTCTGGATTGTATGTTTCTTGATTCTGAAGTCATCTGTGTTTTGAAAACCCTCAAAACATTATCCTGTTTGACATTTAGACCAACGTAATTCCAAATGTATTCACAGAGCCCAATTATAACATTATTATATGAACTTTATCAATGTCTTGACCTGCTCTGTTGAGTCAGCAATCGCTTTTCAAATGGAATCATTTTTTCTTTAATTCAAAATGTTGTCTAAGGGCCATTAACTTTAACTTCCAAACGCAGCAGCAATTGTGTAACACATCTTGTGTTTTTAGCAATCCTGAGCACAATAGGGGTTTCACTTCATCAGTGTCAGGGAGAGTTAGCTGTTAAAGGCTGCAGAGGCTGATCCAATAGAGCTCCTTTCTTCCCATTGTGCAGACGTAAGTTCATGTTTGGGCCGTGTCTTTCTGACCTGAAACTTGACTGCACTTGAGAGGTCAAAGCCAAAGACTCAAAGCTGTAAGCGTGCATTAAATACTCTGTGCTCTTAATTATTAGCACTCTTAATTGTGTTGCCTGCCGTCCTGCTGGGAGGTCAGCTTGGCATGAGATGCTGGACGGTCGGTTTGTCAGCATAGCACTTGTGATCTGACAGGTTAGCGGAAGCAGCCGATCCGATTGGCAGAAAGTTTCCACGATGAGACGCGGCAAAGCCTGCCAGGTAAAAATGGAGTCCTTCTTCACCAGACAAACCATTAAGAACCAAAGGAAATCTGGCTAGAATTTCTCTGATTTGTCCAACTTAAAGGAATTAAAGGTGGGATTGTCTATGCAGCAGCGTCTGTTGGGTTTGGGCCGTAGGAAGAGCCTCTGCTGAAGAAGTTTAATCTGCTAATCCACTCTGTTTTCATGTGGCTGTAGGATTTGTCAAACCTGCTGCCTTCTCGCTTGACATGGGTCAAGATTGGCCCGGCTCTGCACACAGGAGTCCTGCCCCATATAAGACCCCCTCCCAGTATGTCTGCGCTAAGGGAGGGGAAAGGCCCCCCCCCCCACCCATCACTCAGCCTGCATTCTTTCACTAATGAGCCCCCACCTCCTCTACCACTTTCACTCCCCCTACCTTCAACCGGCTGCAGTCCTGCTCAAAAACATCCGAAATGATTCAATTGAAATAAATTACAACTACGGAAAGTTGTTACAAAACGAACGTGACCGAATCACAAAGGAATCATTCTTACTTACTACCTACTTCAGCCTTTGTTTCTATCACTGCCATGCCGGGATGTTAATGCAAATGTACATAATATTCATGCCAAAGGTTTGAATCCCTTTGCACAGACAGATTTGAACTGTAATGATGAATCCGGTCGGACACATGAAGACTTTTCCAGAGTGTCTCAAGCTCGAACAAACCGCTGGATCCTACATTTCCCACAATGCAAGTGATCATTCATGAGATGGTTGTTATGTTTCATGCTTAACAACGCAGCTATGGAGTGACAGAATACAGGCTTCCAAGACTAAGTAGTCCCCATGTTGGGATTTACAATATGTTGAGTATGTATTGACACATAAGAGTCAATTTACATACAGGACCCAACAGATGCATCTTTGAAATATGGCTTTTCCATGTGGGTGCTAAATGTTCTCACAGGGTTTGTATTAGCAAAGTGCTGTGTAGTGATATTGTGAAACATCAACATCACCAGTGGGAGCATCGCAGTCTGCCGTATCGCAGCACAAGTACTGACCGCTTTGCTACAGCACACTAGTCAACACATACATTCCCCCACCACTGATGCCCAAATAACACATCAACTTCAGACTTCAATGCTCACCTGGGCAGTAACAGTGACACATGGAGGGGTCTGATTCAGAGGAACCGCCTCCCCAAACTGAACCTGAGCGAATTGCATCATTTGCGCTAGACATGGCGGAGAAGGAGCATGGATTATCACCATGAAAACACTGTTAGGTAGCGACCCCCAGTTTGGGAACCACTGGACGAATGCAATACATTTTATGTTGTAGGTTTAAACATACAGTGCAAACCAGGTCGTTTTCTCCTTTTCACAATCCCCATTGTGTCCCTCAGATCTTTGGGGAGACTGAGCCAGTGCGGATGACTTCGGAGGGCTCAGACTGCCGCTGCAAGTGCATCATGCGCCCTCTGAGCAAGGACGCCTGCCTGCGCCTGCGCAGCGGCAGCGTGCGGGTGGAGGATTTCTACACAGTAGAGACAGTGAGCGCCGGGTCGGACTGTAAGTGCTCGTGCACGGCCCCGCCGTCCTCCCTCAACCCCTGTGAGAATGAGTGGAAGATGGAGAAGCTGAAGAAACAGGCCCCCGAGCTACTAAAGGTGAGGACGCGAATACGTATGAGATCGGATGAGATCAGCATCTTTCAAAGGATTCTGATGGATCAGTTGTTGTTTGGACAAAAATGACACAATACATCCCATATGAATTTGCATAGTTTGTTTATTATATTCAACATATTTGACCACCAGAGTCAAAAAGTGTGGATGTATTTAATTACTCATTGTCAGTCAGAGAGTCATCAACCTAATAAGTCATTCTAAAATGATTGTGATGAAGCAAATGAAAGCTGAGTTCTATAACCATAAATACATTGAATTATAACAAAACTATACGTAACAACTATTGTTAGAATACTATTCTATACTATGCTGTACTATAAATACACTTGGACAAATAATGAGAGTGAATTTAAAGTACAAATAATAATAGTACAAACAATGTCTTATATGCTTGTAAAGTAAATCTTTTTCATGTACTTTTTGGTCGGACAGTGCAAGCAAATGCATGAAATTGTGATTGTGTATTGTGCTATTTTATTGATCAACAAATGATTTCATTATTGCAATAATTAATGGGTGCAACCCCACATTGCTACAGTCATAGAGAAAAGCGAGTCCACTTCCATACCTGTATATCGGTTTTGAACTGAATTATAATAATTACAATTCATAATAGATTTTACACACAGAGTGTATGCTGGCACAAATAATAATAATAATAATAATTTGCCTGCGTGAGATTGTTTGTAAAATAAAACAAACGAAAAAGTCCATCCAGTTTCGAAGGCCATTGCTCTGCTCAGTGAGACCGGCTATAGTTTGGCGAGCTCTGCTCATACCTAAAGCACGCTTTCATTTTTCATAGGCAGGAGAAGCACGCTATGTACCACATGAAACAAAAAGCAGTTCCAGATGTCTGAAAATAACTGACTGAGAGAAATTAGTGTGGATGTGCATTGTCTTACCAGAAATGACTGCATTTGAACAGAGGCTCAGGTTTGCGTTGAGGAGATGGTGAGTAACTTGTTTTTATCCTTTTATGGCATGAATGACCAGCTCCAATCTATGGTGGATCTCTTGGAGGGAACACTTTACAGCATGGATCTAATGAAGGTCCACTCGTACATCAACAAGGTGGTGTCTCAAATGAACAACCTGGAGGAGGTAGGTGAACTCACGCCTGCATCACTAGAGTTATGGAAGCACTGATCCTACCTTGTCTTACCCTACATCGATACCTGGGCTTTGGGTACTGATAAGATCATCAAACTGGAAGTTTACATTGTCTTAGTGCAAAATCATAGAACTGTATGAAATAGATCGGCCCCATTCTCAGTGACTCCTGATCCAGATACTCGAGTCAGCCTTAATGACGCGATTGAAAGGTGGTTTTTGTGACTACTCCTGACTGCTGTAAATATTGACGTGATCTTTCAGACAATCAAGACAAACCTTACGCGAGACAACGACTTTGTTCGAGACAGCATGATGAGCCTCACCAACCAGTTTAAGAGATATGAGAACTACTCCAACGTTATGATGAGCATCAAGAAGGAGATCTCCAGCCTCAGCCTGCAGCTGCTACAGAAAGACGCCTCCGAGAGCAGAACACAGGTTCCAAGAAACACCTCCTATGACATTGTAGTAGCACTACTAGTTGTACCAGTAGTATTAGCTGTAAGGTTAGCAGTACATCACAAGCAGGGCTGTTGGACTCAAGTGTTTTTGATCTCAGACATGTCTCTGCATAGTAGGTGTCTTCACCGAGGGGCCTTGAGAAGGCCTCTGTAGTTCAGGAGTTGATAGTGTGAACCTGTTCTTTTAGTACAGTACCAGTGGTCATTTTATCAACAGCAACACTAGTAATAATAAACCTTGCAACGTCATTAGCACTACATGCAATGCCAACATTACCAAGTGTCCTGACATAACCCGGGTGTCATGTTTACAGGACACCAATGATGAGAAAGCAAAAGATACTTTAAAAGTACCCAACAAAAAGACCTCTGCAGCCAAACTTTTGCCCAAACCACCCAAAGAAAAGGTTGTAAAGCCCAAGAAGGAGGTCATTAAACCTGGGAAGCCGGCCAAGCCTGACCCAACAGCCAAAGCCAAGGTGGCTGGCCACCAGCCCGGCGTGGTGAGGGGCATCACCTACTACAAGGCTGCCAAGACCGACGAGGATGAGCACAGAGGTGAGCGCCTGCAGCTTGGCTGAGACACTGCATACTCGAGCTAAAGCAAATATTGTGCTCGTACTTTAGCTGACTTTTCACTCCCATCTGTGAGCGATCCACAGTGTTGATCCAAAGTGATCCAAACTTGTTTCTTGAGCAATCTAATCTAACCACACATGACACTTTGCTGGAGCAGGATCAACCAGCAGAGTCATTGAACCAGAGTGGAGATATTTAATAGCTGGATTTGGCTTCCTGTTGAGGAGAATATGAAGCTTTCCTTAGAACTTTATTTTACACAACTGTAAGATAAGGGTCTAATTGTGCTGCAAATGTGACACTTATGTGGCAAACGAGATCCAATACAAGATTAATTTCACTGTTGTTTCAAGCAAAGCTGATGTTGTCAGCGCAGGACTGATTGAATAGGCAGGAAATCCCAAACTTTTATTGACAAAATAGATGGCGCTGATGCTGTCTCGAAGGAGCGCTGCGATTCCCGCCCAACAACAGTGTAAGGGCACCCTCAGCAATGCAATTCCTCACTCCTTCCAATGCCCTTTAAGTCTAGTTGAGTGAATAGGTATGCTGCGTTTGCACAGGGAACACGCACATAATGTTCTGCCACCTATCTGAACCTCAGCCAGCCCGGCCACCAAATCACTGCAGTTGGCTGCCTCTCCATAATCTGGCAAAGAGTGGGATGCAGAAACTTTTAATCATCCCGACAGGGTTGATATACGCAATAATGCTTTTTCCTGAAATGCCTCCTCTTCCGATGCCATTTTTCCTTCCCTGTATCAATTTGGCCGTGTATTATTAACTTCTACAATCTGTTAGCAGTTCTCTAGAAGCAGTTTGGGACGCAGCCATATTTTTCTTGCATCTTTCTCATCTCTGTTGAGTGTTGCACTCAGGACCTCTCTGGCAGGAGGTACAGATCGTGTAGCCTGTGACACATTGTTGTTCCTGTGTATCATAAAGGAGATGATAAATAAAAAGTTAACGGGACATCAGACTCAGACACAGACTCATGAATACCAGAATCAACTTTTTAGAATGAATAAGAGACATTTCTGATACTTGTTTTGAAAAGTAATTCCAATACAATTAGAATGCAAATTTGACAATAATAAAAGCAAGTAGTATGCTCCTCTGTTCCTTTTCAAAACCCTTTTGATTTGTCCTTTTTCAAGTTGTCTCCACAGAGACATTTTTATCTCCTTGATTATTTAAAAATACTTAATACTCAATGACTAAAAAAAGCGCCTTTGAATATTTCTACTCTATAATCAGGTCTGCGTGTTCCACCAATGCACACGTCAGGGTAACGTGCTGTGATCTATTCACATCTGCCTGGCAGCACAGGACATCAGAGACCATACGGAGTGCAGACTTTCCTTCTGCTAATATTGCCTTTTTTTACAGTTGACCACATGTAACCATAGAAACAAAGAAGAAATGTTCAACCAAAATGGGTTCTTGATTGACAAATAATCAGTGTTTCATCCCTTGCATCTGCAACAGTGTTAACATCATCAGGCACACTATTGGTTGTATATTTTAGATGCAAAATGACCTAAAAATCTACATTTTAAAGGGTTGACAGCCTTGAAAGCTTGAACACGCAACAGTATGCTATTAGCTAACATGCTATGGCTACAAGCTCATGTCGTCATGTAGACTATTTTTTGCCAACCATTGCAATAAGACTTAACATTCACAGCAATCAATATGGTCTCTCTGTCTACTTACAACTAATGATCAACTGTTTTGTGACGCGTTGATGTCGAAGCTGAATTTAGGTGATAAAAAGGAGATCAGACCAAATGTTACTTTTTCAAAGATATTGATGTTGAAATTAGGGTTGGTGCTCAACAGGACTCTTTTTTTCATTGCATGTTCCAGCTGTTTTGTTGCTAATTTCCAGTTGGATTGGAGATGTATGTAATGTGTAGAAGAACTGTTTTCCTTTCCTATGAAGAACTGTAGCTAATTGTAATTAGCTCAAATTACTTGCAGATGTATATATCACTATAACCAAACACACTGAGGGCCTCATGGACGTACATTTGCAGTACATCAGCGCCACAGCCAACCCGCAGAAAGCGCTTGCTGTCATACTTCAGTTTATGTTGTATTTACGAAACATGCAGCTCATCAGCGCCTTTCTCCGCCCACCGTACCGAACACTGCGAGCACTTGAATGGGCCTCCTTCTCTCTTTCTCTCTTGGATCAGCTAAAGTCAAAACGGCTAAAACAAAACTTCAGCGACAACGAAGTTGATGAGTTATTTGGGCATCAGCGGTGGGGAAATCTAGTGAGCTGTAGCAAAGCGTTCAGTACTTGTGCTGTGATACGGCTGAGTGCAGGCTGCAATATTCCCACTGCTGATGCTGTGAAATGATCCCGTTACCAATAATTGTAATTTAGCGAGGAGTTCAACAACTGCTGGAATGGAATGTGAACGCTGAGCGGGAGATGCGATGTTGGTAACTGTAATATTGCATGGCTGCTTAACCTGTAACGCGTAATGACCTCCTGTTCACTCAAATGTGAATGCATATGCATGACAAAAAAAGCCCAATTTGCCAATTTAACCTCGTTTAACTAATCAGCAAAACTTCTTAGGTTTAGGAAAAGACCCATTTGGTATTCAGACAAAAGCCATCTGGTGTGTTTGGAATGAAGTCAAACCTAGTATAATCTATCTACCCCCCCCACCCCCTCCACCCAGAAGACCATGTCAGAACGAAACCAGTCCATCACATCACTGACAACCAGTCAGAGGATGGAGGAGCTGAAATGGTCCTTGAAACCACGGAGGCCAACGCAGCAGAACCCACTGTGACCACTGCTGTCCCCAGCACTACTACTACCACCACCACAACTAGCACCACTACTACACCCACCACTACCACCATACAAAATACACCAGCATCTGATAGACCGGCCCCGACCATTGTACTGGTGCTGGACAACTCCAACAACAATAGTCGGCCAATTCTCCACAGAGCAGGTATGTGATAAATGCCCATTTGGGATTAAGGCTTATACGCTTTTTGTTTTAAAGCATCTAAGCAGGAACAATCTCTATCTAGTGAAACCTGAAAACGGTTATCACATGACGTTTCACATACAGTGTAAATAGGAAGTCATTGGTTTGTATTATTGTACTGTAATCTAACCGGATGAAAGGTTATGCTTCATAATTAAGATCGCCAATCACCCCAATTCTAGCTCATAGTATCGTGTTCACACAAAATGTAGGTGTGTGCATGTATTCTAGGCTTAGCATTGTATTGCAGGCTGTGACTACAGTGACAGAGAATAATCTAGCAGCAGGAAAGGCGGTACACTCCACAAAGCCTGGTTCACTCTGCCAAGAAATATAGAGTGTGAAATCAATTCAAACCCACAGTAATGCAAGTAATTCTCTCCCATACATGCATGTTGAATATTCTGCTTGTTTCTTCCAGGAAATATCCTGAACTGTGAAGGGACTCTAGCATCCATTGACCAGCCAGAGAAGCAGCACAGTTACGGGCGCAACGAGGGAGCCTGGATGAAGGATCCTCTGGCTAAAGACTCCAAAATCTATGTCACCAACTATTACTATGGCAACAACTTAGTGGAGTTCCGCAACCTGGACAACTTCAAGCAAGGTGTGTCGAACACAATGCCCCACTTGCTCACCATAATCCATATATATGTGTTAGGTCCCTGGGATTAACAAGACCCCCACCATAGATACGGTTTAGGTTTTGACACTGCCCCCTAATCGTTTTTTTAGTCCGGTTTTCACCGTTTTACTGTCAGAAAACGCTTGTGGCCCTTTCCTTTTTCAGTCATCGGTGTATCACTATACGCTGTGTTCAGTTCAAGTCCTCTCTGCTATAGAGGTTTGTGATCTTATATCCAACAAAAAGAGCAGGCTTTCTCCATCACAAGACAGGTACCCCCAGAGAGCCTAAAAGCATCTACTACTGGGGCTGCGGTTCCCTCCTGGGCACTTTCACAAGGCGTCACAGAAGACAATGGGAGGGCCACACACACCTATATGAGGTTTTATAGCCTTCACATGACAGAATCTTCAGAAGCTCGGAACCTTCTCAGCCTGAAGCGCACATTAACTGTTCCCCATTGAAATAGCCATGAGGAGCTACACGTGTGTAATATCCGTCACGGGGACCTAGCGGGAAAACTCAAATGAAAAGTGGTCCATCGGACGGAATCGGTTTTGCTTGCTCATACAACTGTCTAGATTCATTTGTACTCACAATAAACCAAACTCAAACACAATTTGAAGTCCAATCTAATCCAGTTTGAACAACATCCTTAGCCTAAGACTGTGGACCATGTTCTGGCCAATCAAACATACTCTGTCTTAGTGAAAACCTGTGTTAATAAAGATAAAGACTTAAATCCAACTCAAACACCATTATCGTCCCAACATATCACCTTGTTCAAATGTATAGCTGTGTTATCTGCAATAACATGATGACATTGATTCATGTTGATTGTCCAGGGAGCTCTGTGAGACTGATGAGATCTCTGGAATGTAGGTCTTAGTCGTTTCATGGCTCCAGTGGGTGGGAAATTCACATCCAAATAGACTGAGGAATTGGATTACACTCTCTAAGAGAGTTAAGACAATCTCCCCTCATAGGACCTTTCTTGTTGATCTAGATGTGTTTGGACAATGGCCTTTTTAAATGCATTTACGTGTGATGTGTCCTGCAGTGCAGTGAGCTCACGGCTGTGTGCGGATCACTAGATATTTGGAGTGGCAGTGATGCCCGCTGTTCCCTGACATGTGCTCTTAGCTTTCTTTTGAACTGGGCGCAGTGGAGAGGGATTAAGAGTGTGGGCTGGCCTTATGGTTGGGGATGGGGGCTCTACTGCATGTTGTTTTTGTCCTTCATTTGGAAGGACGGGATAGATAGGATGTGATTAGAAAAGGACACTTACAGGGTTGAACTCCTGAGCAAACCGGCGTCTGAAGCCGGCGTGTACACATTCTGCTGCTGTTAGTGCATGTTGTAGTCTTTATACATTGACATTACCCAACTAATTTTACACGACAATAAGAGTGAAGCAGGGGATATAATTCAGGCTGCCTTTTCTTGGAGCCACAACCACAGACACTTCCACGTGGGCGGTTGCGTCATGGTTGATCATAATGTGCTCATTGGCTAATAATAATCGATAAGCAGGCTAATATGATATTCTTTTTTTATCATAGGCCGATGGAGCAACCTCTTCAAACTGCCTTACAACTGGATAGGCACAGGCCATGTGGTTTATAATGGAGCTTTCTACTACAACAGAGCCTTCACCAAGAATATCATCAAGTATGATCTGAGGATGCGATATGTGGCAGCCTGGACACTGCTGCATGACGTGGTATACGAGGACACCACCCCCTGGAAATGGAGGGGCCACTCGGACATTGACTTTGCTGTTGACGAAAGCGGCCTGTGGGTGATCTACCCTTCCATGGACTACGACTACAACCAGCAGGAGATGATCGTCATCAGTAAACTGGATCCTGGAGACCTGTCGTTGAAAAAAGAGACAACCTGGAGGACCGGTCTCAAGCGGAACTCTTACGGAAACTGCTTCATCATCTGTGGTGTCTTGTATGCCGTCAATGTGTACAACCAAAAGGAAGGTGAGGTGAACTTTGCGTATGACACCCACACCAACACTGACGCCATCCCACGCCTGCCCTTCACCAATGAGTACTCGTTCACCACCCAGATTGACTACAACCCCAAGGAGAGGGTTTTGTATGCCTGGGACAATGGCCATCAGCTAATTTATCGGGTAAACTTTCTCGACCAGTAAGCTCAGCTGTTGGCGTTCCAGTGTGGCTCCAAAATAGAAAGATGCAGCCATATTGGACTCAGGAGATAAGATGGACCCACACAAGCCTTCCAGCACCAAAGCTCGCCATTCAAACACCTGACCTCACAGTGTACCAAACATTCATTATGCCTTGAGATGTGACTGTACTATATATCAATAGAATGGGCAGCCAACAGTAAAAACAATCTCACAGGTTGAGTTAAAGCTTATCGAACAGGTTTTAAAGAGCAGAGAGACTTCTTTATATGTTCATTCAGGACATGTTAGCAGGCTGGCTTACTAGCATATACATAGATGTGTTTTTGTATACAATAACTCTTTAATGTACATATGGGCACTTGAGTGAAATAGCCATCACCATGTCAGAACTAACCTAACTCCTAATAACTCACTACAATAATACAAGATATGACATGTCACTTATATGTGTGATTAGGCTTTATTGGTAAAACACGTTGGTTTATAATGGCACATCTATAATAATCTGCATGAATGGGTTAATGCATGAAAGCACTGAAACCATTGACGCTGATGCGCTAAAGCAAGTGGGCCTTGTTCCCTCTCTTTTGGTAGCTTACTTCTACTAGCATCTAGTTGGAGGAAGTGTAGAGTAAGAAATGGGCATTTACCTTCAGTATTACCTTCAACCACGTTTACTGCCCTTTGGTTTGAAGTCTCGACTTTTAAGTGGGCTACATACATTACAGCTAGTGTTATTTGGCTCCGCCCCCCAGCATTTAACTCAACCAATGAGATTTGTTCTGCCTCCCGGTAGTTATCCTCCTATAAAACTGAACGGTCACCTGTTGTTACACATGCCTATCTACTCCATCCTAACACTGAGCACTTCGTCAGGAATCTGCTAGTTTTCCGGCCTCATGGTACCTTCCGTCTCTTTAACATGTTTTTTAAGGGATGTATTAAATATAGTCTGAACTCCAAAAACAAAACCATATACACAAATGTCTGAATATTTAATGTATGTTTACATGAATTCGTTTGACAATATGATACCACTTTTCTTTCTAATTCTAATGCATCTTGTTTGTATGTTGTATTAAAATATGCAATGTTCATCCTTTTTAATATCATCATAGCATAACCCCTACATTTGTAACGCGATCTTGAACCTTTGTTAACGCAGAAGGTGCACAGTGTCACTCTGAACTCGTCATGTGTTGATTTTCGCTGGTCAAATGCATACACTGCCTTGTAAAAATAAAGACAGGAAACAACTTGGTTAGGTTAAGGCAGCGGTTCCCAAATGTGTTCTGTCAAGTCCTTTGAGGATATAGGGACATTCAATTATATTCAAATTGAATGGACGACAAGACTACAGCGCAAGAGGAATAAAATAATGCTATGGCATATGAAAGTGACGTGTGCAGTGTGAAAGAAAGAAAGTGACCGGTGGGATGAGTCAGTCAGTGGGGGACCGGCTCTGTTGATGAGCCCGACTGCCGACGGGAAGAAACTGTTGGTGTGGCGGGAGGTCTTAGTCCTGATGGACCTCAGCCTCCTGCCAGGTGGAAGGGGCACAGTGTAAATGCCATCGGATAGCAGGACTTTTCCACTTGGTTTTAATGGCACAATGACTCGGATTAAAAATTATCTGCTTGAGCTCAAACCATAGATACAGTAAATGGAGCAGCACCGGGTGAAGCTTAATAGCAGGTGTGCTGGGTCATGCATGTGGTCCCTATTTAAGAAGATCTGCACTCAGTTCTTTTTTTTGCACCCACATAATAATGAGGTTCATTAATAATGAGTGCAAAGCCAGGCCGTGGGTTTGATGAGCTCAGCACTAATGGTGTGTCCAATCAACAACTCTGTCACGAAATGTTGACATGTTGTTGTAATGGAACAATGATGTCCATGCTAGCCGAGGTGATGAACACTGACAACTCACATGACCTTTGCTTCTTCGGTCCCTGCAGCTCATGGTCAACACAAAGGCTCTCCTGTTGCTAAATCTGGGCTCAACATGATCCTGTTCACATCAGCAGGGCCTCTCGTTCATCACCATCACATACTCATCATGTACCTCCATAAACTCACAGTGGCCGCAATGTAAAGCCTTTGTCCCCATGTTATGTGCCACTGTGAGGCTGGAAACTGCACCATTGAGCCACATATCATTCATGGTCAAGAGGTAATTGGGTTAATGTCGGAAAAGGCTCCCTCACAGGCCTCTGCTACACCGAGGACTGTACTCCCTTTAAATGCAGCTTCTGTTGTTTGACTAATCTACATTTACAGAAACACACCCAACACTGCAACAATTCATCATTATCCTCTGAATATTAGATGTGTCATACTAAAGATAAAGTAAAGCCTATATCTATTCAAAAACCAGAAGCGTGTTGAGTTGTAGAGTTGACACATGATGCATGAATCTGATGACTTAACCAGATCCTAAAAGACTTTGACTTACTATCAATGAGCAAAAATCCAAAATGTGGATAAAAAGGGGACTTTATTGGGGATTAACCCCTGGGTACGGATATTTAGAATCTGATGCTGTCCATCTGACAGCGGATAATCAGGCAGCACACGCAGAAGGACCCTCAGTTTGTCAGTACAGGTGTTACACCTGAAGCGGTTTACACAGCGTCCTGTGGGACGCTACAGGCAGCTATGGGGCGTGTGTGACACAAAATGAAAGAGATGGGTCTGTATGACAAACCAGTAAGGAAGTTTACCGCTTCGGACCTTTGCAGAGCTCAAACGACAAACCTCTCCAGTAGCCGATTATATCAGCTGTGTCTTATTTATATTAATAATGTACATTACTTGCCAAAAGCATGCAGCAACTTCCAATTCTGCCAAGAGTACAGAGTAAATTCTTTTTTTTCTGCCGCCCAGTAAGGGGTGACTCCTAAGGGCAAAAATAAGCCAAATTGCATAGAAGAAAATGACTTTACTTTCTTTATTACCTCGGTAAACATTGTAAACATAAGTTCATGGTCTCAATCTTTCAAGTCTTCAATACAGCATGATGTTCATTAAATGATGATGTATTTAGTCAAATAAACTATAAAGGTAATCTAACTTATTCGACCCACCCTTTTTCTGTCAGACCCCCCCCCCCCCCTCTCCCAGAACCCCAAAGAATAGGGTTGTTCCTTCTTTGTAACTTTAAGCTCGGAACAGTGCAAAACTTATATTTCCAAATTTAACAGCAAGTTGTTCCAAACATCTTTTCTGTGTCGCGCTGCGTCTTTTTTCTGTCTTTCTGATACTGCGCGTCTCGCTATCTTGCTCTTCCTCCCTCCCTCCCTCCCTCACTCCCTCCCTCTCTCCCTCACTTCCTCCATCTCTCCCTCCCTCTCTCCCTCACTCTCTCCATCTCTCCCTCACTCACTCTCTCCCTCCGTCTCTCCATCTCTCCCTCACTCACTCCCTCTCTCCCTCACTTTCTCCATCTCTCCCTCCCTCTCTCCCTCACTCCCTCCATCTTTCCCTCTCTCCCTCACTCCCTCCATCTCTCCATCTCTCCCTCACTCACTCCCTCCATCCTTTCCTCCATCCCTCCCTCCCTCTCTCCCTCCATCTTTCCCTCTCTCCCTCACTCTCTCCATCTCTCCCTCACTCACTCTCTCCCTCCGTCCCTCCATCTCTCCCTCCCTCCGTCCCTCCATCTCTCCCTTCCTCTCTCCCTCCCTCTCTCCCTCATTCCCTCCATCTCTCCCTCCCTCATTCCCTCCATCTCTCCCTTCCTCTCTCCCTCACTCTCTCCCTCCATCTCTCCCTCCCTCCATCCCTCCATCTCTCCCTCCCTCCGTCCCTCCATCTCTCCCTCACTCTCTGCCTTTTTGCTGCGCTTGTCGCCTCCTAACCTGAGCTGCTCTGGGGGACGTGCAAGGATCGAACACAGCACATGTCAAGTCCTCCTGTCATTTTCTCTTTTGTTTTTTTATTTTATTCTTTATATTTTTGGGTGAGTGACAAAGCTGCAGCCCCCTGGTCGGCCAACCCACCGTTTGGGAACCACCACATGTAGGGGATTCAAACCTAAATTCAGACCTTTGTCAGTGGGTTAACATACTAAAGTATGCCTGACCGCTTTACTTTAATCATCCTGAAATCTCTTTAAAAAAGATGAATAACAATTTTAATGGCAAAAACATGACAATGGCATTACATTTGGGGACTTTTTGAGGAACCAAGAGACAAAGGGACTTTATTGAGCCCTTCTTGAGGATGACTCTGGACCATGGATGAAGTGAAATGAACTGTTGCTTTGTGGAATTCCATTATGATTGTTGCTCAGATTGAAGTATATCTAAATGGAAATGGGAATTAGGAAGTGTGAAGAGAGGGAGTTGGTTAAACAGGCTGTAAGAACAGAGCAAGTACAGTAAACATGCAGCATGAACAGTGGTCCACCTTCTGTCAGTACCCCCCTAGGCTTCATGGAATCTTGTGTAAAAGAAAGCATGAGATGCTTTTCTCTGAGCATGTGTATGTTCTTTGCAGAGGGGTTTTCCTGAGGTTTGGGCAAGCAACCAAGGAGCCCACCAAAGAAGCTAGTGCACAAGAGAGAGCGAAGGCCTTTGGAAATCAGGGGCGAGGAGTCAAACCGTTTGTATTGGAGGCATAGACAAAACAGACGCACATTGTTGCATGTGATTGAGGAAAAACTCTTAATGGCATGAATAAATCTCAACAAAGGTTATTTATGAGAGTGAAACAGTCTTCCAAATACATCTGTTAGTCATCTTGATGCAATAGAGATAATGCAATTTGCTGAATATTCAATTCAGGGTTTTTTCTTATTAATATTAAATAATAGTTACATACATAGATGGGTGGATCAAGCCAAACAGTGGGCAACTTTCCGTTGGCTGAAAAGTTAAAAACATGGCAGACTGCAATTTTGTGCCTCTTAATGTACTTTCTTTGGGAAGGGAAATTCTGTTCATCCGTTCATATTTTAGCCCCAGTACTAACCAGCGATGGCTGTCCACAGAGCAGTTCATCACCAGATGCTGTACTTACTGTACTTACATTTAGCTTCGGTTAAACATATTGGTCTCCACTATTGTACAGTAATCACATTCTCTGACTCTTCCAGAACTTATCTCTCCAAAAGAACTGAAGCAACTGTGACAGAACCGAACCATGGAGTTCACGGGAGAAATCGCCCCCTCCCCTTAAACACAACCTACAAATGACTTCCAGACCACATTCATACTCCCAACATCGCCTCTCCTTATTTTGGAGAAACAAAAGATCAACTATAAAGAAAAGTATCTACAATATATGTTTTCTTCTGTGCTGAGCCTGAGAGAGGAGAGAGAAGTGGAACAAAGTTTACCCTTGGGGGTATCTGGCTTTTAGGAACACAACAATGTACTGCGTGTTCCAGAGACACAATACCCACCAGTAGGTCTAATGTAATCCACCCAGCCACATAGTTCATCCCAACAGCTGCCCTCAGCTGGAATTGGTCCAGAGGGACTAAAGCTTCAGTCAACCATGAGTAACATTGCCCCACCCAATACCAGAGAGCGGCTCCGATGAGGCCAAATATCAACACCACTTTGCAGCTGTTGAGGGGGTGATGCAGTGTGAGGGTTGCCTCATCAGAAACAGGATTGGTTTGTTGTAATTCCTTCACAGCTGTCAAAGAAGTGAACGGGGGAGCGGGGACATCTCTAGGTTAAAGCGATTCCACGAAAAACGCATTCCTAACACAATCTACCTCCTGCAGACCTGAGGCTCAGCTTCCTTTTCCCTTTGTCCCGGCCAGAGGTGAAAAATCAAACGAATCAACTGGCTTATCAAAAATAATTTAATGACTAACAGCAGCAATACATTTACAAAGTGAAAAACGGTATGAATAGTAATAAATATTCCGCAAAATTCTTACCGCTTGCTGTGCTCTGCTTACATTTTTAACAAACTCTCAGATCAGAAAATGACAGAAAACGATTGGGAACCACCGTGCTGAGCTGTAGAGTTCAGGCTGACAATGGTCTATGTCATAGGTGAATCTGGCCAGCCGGGGGTCCAGTGTGGCCCACCAGCTGACTTTGCTATAGTGAGAATTACAGAAAGACATGAATTCCATTTCTATAAAAGAAGCTGCTGTGAGTCCACTGGGGGTCACACTGTGAGTGAGCGCATGCGTTAGACCAGGGACACCAGGTCGATCGCCAAGCAAGTCGCCGTCGATTTTTTAATATATCAATTCGTTTTGGGCTCCCGATATGCAGCGGTGTAGTTCCATTTGGTTTACCGCTACAAG